CAGCGTTCTGAGCGCATGTGTTTTGTCATGTAGATGTGACTGTGGGCAGCCTGACAGCATGTGAAATCACTGCGGCGGAATCAACACCTACAGACTGTGTTCAGGATTCACAGACGGCCCGTAAACACAGTGACCTTCAGCCTGACAAACACCTTCAGTGATGACCGCTCTGATGCTGGTCTGAGACTCAGACTGATGGAGAAACACTGCATTTGTGTTTGACAGCGACTTTCCACAGAAAATTATTTTATACTGTACAAAGTCTCCCCGCAAGGTCAAACATTTCAGCTTTACTTTCCTCTTGGGCACATTTGGCCTCTCACACACACACACACACACACACACTGGTTTCCATATTTCATAAGTTCCATAGGTGTAATGGTTTTTCTACTGTACAAACTGTATTTTCTATCCCTTTAGCCTAACCCTACACCTCACACAAAACTACATCATAACTACAAAATATCTGCCAATGGGGTAAGAAAAGTAATCTTAATTCAAAGGCTAAACAAGATTATTTTTCTTGCCCCATTGGCAGATATTTTTGCTCGTTTTAAGCAAAAACTAACAAAATTTTGATCTTTTTAAAACATTTTTTTTTTTAGAAAACATTTAAAATCTTAAGTCATTTTACCTGTCAAGTAAATGCATCTTGATTCAAGAATGTTTAGATATTTGTACTAGAAAACAAGACAAAAATACAAAGTAAGAAATTTTTTTGCAGTAGGCATTTTTAGATTTTCAAAACATTTCATTCTGTATCAAATGATGCATTAGCACTTGCGTTTACTGACCTAATAAACTATTTTGGTGTCAAGCAAAACATCACCGGGCCCACTCATCGTTTTAATCATACGCTAGATTTAATTATATCGCATGGAATTTATCTTACTGATATAGATATCGTACCTCAAAGTGATGATGTTACTGAAAATTAATTTGCTGTAAAGTTGCTTTGCAACGATTTGTATCGTAAAAAGCGCTATACAAATAAACTTGAATTGAATTGAATTTATAAGACACACAAACACACAGATCTTTGAATCGCAGTCCAAGCTTCACGTGTTCACCATTATTTCTGTTTGATGGATTTCTGCAGCTGCAAAGAGAAGCATCAGTGAATATAATCAGTGCAGGAGAACGAGGGAGAAACGAGGAGAGAAACAACAGATGAACGTATGCAGACACCACAGAAGCACCGCAGAGCATCATGGGAACACGGAGCCAGGGACAAATGGAGATCAGGACAGCAGGATACGAGGTGATTGAAGAAACGACGAGTCTTTTAGTTTGATCTGCGTTTCATTTGTGCTCTTAACTAGCGATCGAATGATGATGATACAGCTGGAGATCTACATGAGGAGCACATGTCTCTCTTTCTAATGCTGTCTGTCTGTCTCTCTCTCTCTCTCTCTGTGACTCATGCAGCGCTACATGACATTTTCTTTCCTCCATGGAACAAGAAAGAAGATAATTGAAGAATGTTGGTAACCGAACAGTTGTGGTTCCATTATACGGACTAAAAAATACAATGGAAGTCAATGGGAACCAAAACTGTTTGTTTACCAACATTCTTCAAAACATCTGCTTTTTGTGTTCCGCAGCAGAAAGAATGTCTTTGTAACTGGTTTATAATGACAAGAGGAAAAGTAGATGATTTTTGGATGAACTATCCTACTAAGTAGAACCAGGGGCCTGTACCATGAAGCCGGATTAGCTGGCTAGCCAGGTAAGTTTCCGTTTAGTTTGCACCAATCCTGGGTTTTAGGTACCATGAAAGTGGCTTGGCTTTTAGTGGTGTTCATCGCCATAGTAACCTGCTCTGGGGCAGGCTATGCTCTGGTTTAAAGATCTCAAACTGAAACCTGACCAATCAGCTTCAAGCAAAGTGACACATGTCTGACGCATTAAAGCCACTCCCCCAGTTTCTCTTGCTCCAAATTAAAGGACGCTACATAGTAAAACACTTTTAAAGATAAAATCATCTGATTTTTAGAGAAGATTATTTTTTATAATTATTTTATATGATTTATATAATTACTATTCCCTAATCCATTACACAAGCCAGCTTAGTTTAATAGTAATTATTAAGCTTTTATTTTAAATTAATATAAACATACAGATAATATGCAATATAAATACATTTTAGAATCAATAGCTTTAAATATGACTACATATGAGCTTAGATTTTTAAGTGTTTTTATACCTATAAATATTATCAACTCTATAAATTAACTTTACAACTTTTACTTGCACTTATATGGCAAGACGTTTTCTTTAAGTTTTCTGGTTTGGTTTTGTCAACTCAAAACTAATCCTATAACCCTGAGTTTGTTCAGCCACCATCATGGTACACACTGCAAAACATTATTTTTGTCTGGTTTTCTAGTACAAATATCTAAACATTCTTGAATCAAGATGCATTTACTTGACAGGTAAAATGACTTAAGACATTAAGTCTTGTTTTAAAAAAAAAATAAAAATAAAAAAATTAAATATTTTGTAAGTTTTTGCTTAAAACAAGCAAAAATATCTGCCAATGGGGTAAGAAAAATAATCTTGTTTGGCCTTTGAATTAAGATTACGTTTCTTACCCCATTGGCAGATATTTTTGCTTGTTTTTTTAGAAAAACAAGACTTAAAACCTTAAGTCATTTTATCTGTCAAGTAAATGCATCTTGATTCAAGAATGTTTAGATATTTGTACTAGAAAACAAGACAAAAATACTAAGTAAGAAAATAATTTTTTGCAGTGCAGGCCCCAGACGAAGCTCCAAACTCATTCTGCAGAACAACAAATGATGTGTGTGTGTGTGTGTGTGTGTGTGTGTGAGAGAGTGTGTGTG